GCTAAGGGTCTTGAACCAAGGAAACATACACAGCACTCTTACAGAAGCTTGAACCAAGGAAATATACACAGCACTCTTACAGAAGCTTGAACCAAGGAAACATACACAGCACTCTTACAGAAGCTTGAACCAAGGAAACATACACAGCACTCTTACAGAAGCTTGAACCAAGGAAACATACACAGCACTCTTACAGAAGCTTGAACCAAGGAAACATACACAGCACTCTTACAGAAGCTTGAAGCAAGGAAACATACACAGCACTCTTACAGAAGCTTGAACCAAGGAAACATACACAGCACTCTTACAGAAGCTTGAACCAAGGAAACATACACAGCACTCTTACAGAAGCTTGAAGCAAGGAAACATACACAGCACTCTTACAGAAGCTTGAACCAAGGAAACATACACAGCACTCTTACAGAAGCTTGAACCAAGGAAACATACACAGCACTCTTACAGAAGCTTGAAGCAAGGAAACATACACAGCACTCTTACAGAAGCTTGAACCAAGGAAACATACACAGCACTCTTACAGAAACTAACGGTCTTGAACCAAGGAAACATACACAGCACTCTTACAGAAGTTAAGGGTCTTGAAGCAAGGAAACATACACAGCACTCTTACAGAAGCTAAGGGTCTTGAACCAAGGAAACATACACAGCACTCTTACAGAAGCTAAGGGTCTTGAACCAAGGAAACATACACAGCACTCTTACAGAAGCTTGAACCAAGGAAACATACACAGCACTCTTACAGAAGCTTGAACCAAGGAAACATACACAGCACTCTTACAGAAGCTAAGGGTCTTGAACCAAGGAAACATACACAGCACTCTTACAGAAACTAACGGTCTTGAAGCAAGGAAACATACACAGCATTCTCACAGAAGCTAAGGGTCTTGAACCAAGGAAACATACACAGCACTCTTACAGAAGCTAACGGTCTTGAAGCAAGGAAACATACACAGCACTCTTACAGAAGCTAAGGGTCTTGAACCAAGGAAACATACACAGCACTCTTACAGAAGTTAAGGGACTTGAACCAAGGAAACATACACAGCACTCTTACAGAAACTAAGGATCTTGAACCAAGGAAACATACACAGCACTCTTACAGAAGCTAACGGTCTTGAAGCAAGGAAACATACACAGCACTCTTACAGAAACTAAGGGTCTTGAACCAAGGAAACATACACAGCACTCTTACAGAAGCTTGAACCAAGGAAACATACACAGCACTCTTACAGAAACTAAGGGTCTTGAACCAAGGAAACATACACAGCACTCTTACAGAAACTAAGGGACTTGAACCAAGGAAACATACACAGCACTCTTACAGAAGCTAAGGGTCTTGAACCAAGGAAACATACACAGCACTCTTACAGAAGTTAAGGGACTTTAACCAAGGAAACATACACAGCACTCTTACAGAAGTTAAGGGTCTTGAAGCAAGGAAACATACACAGCACTCTTACAGAAGTTAAGGGTCTTGAACCAAGGAAACATACACAGCACTCTTACAGAAGCTTGAACCAAGGAAACATACACAGCACTCTTACAGAAACTAAGGATCTTGAACCAAGGAAACATACACAGCACTCTTACAGAAGTTTGAACCAAGGAAACATACACATCACTCTTACAGAAGCTAACGGTCTTGAACCAAGGAAACATACACAGCACTCTTACAGAAACTAAGGATCTTGAACCAAGGAAACATACACAGCACTCTTACAGAAGCTTGAACCAAGGAAACATACACATCACTCTTACAGAAGCTTGAACCAAGGAAACATACACAGCACTCTTACAGAAGCTAAGGGTCTTGAACCAAGGAAACATACACAGCACTCTTACAGAAGCTAACGGTCTTGAAGCAAGGAAACATACACAGCACTCTTACAGAAGCTTGAACCAAGGAAACATACACATCACTCTTACAGAAGCTTGAACCAAGGAAACATACACAGCACTCTTACAGAAGCTAAGGGTCTTGAACCAAGGAAACATACACAGCACTCTTACAGAAGCTAAGGGTCTTGAACCAAGGAAACATACACAGCACTCTTACAGAAACTAACGGTCTTGAAGCAAGGAAACATACACAGCATTCTCACAGAAGCCAAGGGTCTTGAACCAAGGAAACATACACAGCACTCTTACAGAAGCTAACGGTCTTGAAGCAAGGAAACATAAACAGCACTCTTACAGAAGCTAACGGTCTTGAACCAAGGAAACATACACAGCACTCTCACAGAAGCTAACGGTCTTGAAGCAAGGAAACATACACAGCACTCTTACAGAAACTAAGGGTCTTGAACCAAGGAAACATACACAGCACTCTTACAGAAGCTTGAACCAAGGAAACATACACAGCACTCTTACAGAAACTAAGGGTCTTGAACCAAGGAAACATACACAGCACTCTTACAGAAACTAAGGGACTTGAACCAAGGAAACATACACAGCACTCTTACAGAAGCTAAGGGTCTTGAACCAAGGAAACATACACAGCACTCTTACAGAAGTTAAGGGACTTTAACCAAGGAAACATACACAGCACTCTTACAGAAGTTAAGGGTCTTGAAGCAAGGAAACATACACAGCACTCTTACAGAAGTTAAGGGTCTTGAACCAAGGAAACATACACAGCACTCTTACAGAAGTTAAGGGTCTTGAACCAAGGAAACATACACAGCACTCTTACAGAAGCTTGAACCAAGGAAACATACACAGCACTCTTACAGAAGTTAAGGGTCTTGAACCAAGGAAACATACACAGCACTCTTACAGAAGCTTGAACCAAGGAAACATACACAGCACTCTTACAGAAACTAAGGATCTTGAACCAAGGAAACATACACAGTACTCTTACAGAAGTTAGAACCAAGGAAACATACACATCACTCTTACAGAAGCTAACGGTCTTGAACCAAGGAAACATACACATCACTCTTGCAGAAGCTTGAACCAAGGAAACATACACAGCACTCTTACAGAAGTTAAGGATCTTGAACCAAGGAAACATACACAGCACTCTTACAGAAGCTTGAACCAAGGAAACATACACAGCACTCTTACAGAAGCTTGAACCAAGGAAACATACACAGCACTCTTACAGAAGTTAAGGGACTTGAACCAAGGAAACATACACAGCACTCTTACAGAAGCTTGAACCAAGGAAACATACACAGCACTCTTACAGAAGCTTGAACCAAAGAAACATACACAGCACTCTTACAGAAGCTTGAACCAAGGAAACATACACAGCACTCTTACAGAAGTTAAGGGACTTGAACCAAGGAAACATACACAGCACTCTTACAGAAGCTTGAACCAAGGAAACATACACAGCACTCTTACAGAAGCTAAGGGTCTTGAAGCAAGGAAACATACACAGCACTCTTACAGAAGCTTGAACCAAGGAAACATACACAGCACTCTTACAGAAGTTAAGGGTCTTGAACCAACGAAACATACACAGCACTCTTACAGAAAATAAGGGTCTTGAACGCAAACCTGCAACTGATTTCTATCATGATTGACTCTGTAATGTCTGTGATAGAACTTATTGAAAGTTTACTGACTGCAAAAAACCCTTTTTCCTGTTTTGTTTTTTTATTAGTTTTGGTCCTCATCATCTTTGTTTTTTCCTTATTTATAACACACTCTGTGTGTCACTATATCAGGAACACTCTAGAGAAAAAACAAGCAAAATAAAAACTTTCACACTCAAACGGAAAACAAAACTTTCCACAACTCTGACATCAAATGGAACAAATACAAAATATATTCTAAAGCCGGAAAAGTACCAAAAAAAAATTACGTCATTGATTCTAGAGTAAACATAGAATTAAAAGGTAATGCTGAAAAAAAATACACACTAGTTACATCATCAATACTTGATAATACAGACACTAACATCATCTAATTTATTTTTCTAATATTAAAAATGGTCTGCATCTCTAATGAATTGCAATTTATACAGAAAATATATACTTTTTAGTGTAAGCTCCCCATCTACCCACCCCCCCCCCCCCCCCCCTCCAAAAAAAAAGATCAATATATAGTAGCAGCCAATAGTAGGATACAGGAGTGGATCATAGAAGTAGGGTCTACCTTTAGTCTGACTGATCTAGAAATGCAACCAGTGTTGGTGGGGGAGGGGTACTTGAAAATTTTGTAGAGTCGCCTGAAAGAAACTCTAAATGCGACTTTTGTCAAGTTCGAGCTTAGGTCTAAGGTTTAGGGGTATGACCATGACTATATTTAGTATCAATGTGCAGTAACTACGTTTAGATCAAGGTTAAAGCCGTTTAAAATGCTGATTCTGGGAAAAAATCCATTTTCAATGATATTTTTCATTTCTGGTCAAATTTGAAGTTGACATGGTGATTTTGGTTTGGTTTTGGTTATAGAAAAAGACAACACTATCAACCTAGTGCTCGTTGTATTTCTCCCTCAACGGGCCATAATAAATAAGAGACAGAGCCCACTGACAACCAAAAATCAAAACATCCTTGCGTGAATTGTAATGTTGTAACAGAACACGATGAGAGTTGTCCATTCTGCACAGAAATCTGCTCCCATTAGGCGCTATAAAAAAATCACTATTTACCATTTCAATAAACCGTCATGTCTTCTCATTCATTGACTTGCTATCTAAGAAATTGCTAATGTACAACAATTAACTAATTTGGGTGATTTTTTAATTTAGTAAGATAAATCATTATTTTGGTTTAATTGCTAATTGACAAATCATCCCAAGATATTTTCTGATCTGGCCGGCTAGAACCACATTTGTCCAACTCTTAGATATATATGAGTATATATGTATGCGTGTATATATATATATATATATATATATATATATATATATATATATATATATAGTTATACATATTTAGACACCAATCATTTCTGTAACATTATAATGCATATTTATTCATTCTCATAAGTGAACACAATTTTAACAATCCTTTTATTTTATAATTCAGGGCAAAAATAGTAAAAATTTCATTCAAGCGGAAACAGTTTTTCATTCAGTTGCGCCGAGAGGTAAGTTTATTTAAATATTTGCTTATCTAAAAATGATTGCATTTTATTCTTTGACTTTTAAGAAGAATTAATTATTTCATTCTTGATTTGCCCATTCCAATTGTTTCAAGTTATTTACTGAAGAACTTCACATTATTTTAATTCTTGCTCATTTCTGTTTATTTTCTAATTGTAAAAAATTATTCTGACAATTATTGTGGAAATGAAAACAATTGTAGGTCATTTTAAAAGACATGGAATATATTTTGGTTAGGGTTTTATCCCTGTCTTAACCCTAAACCTAAACCTAACCCTAAACCTAACCCTAAACCTAACCCTAAACCTAACCCTAAACCTAACCCTAAACCTAAACCTAACCCTAAACCTATTTCAGGTAGCAGATAGCATAGAGGCTAATGATGACAAGGGAGAGACATCTCAAGTAATCATTTTTATTTAGAAGACATTTTCAATTGATTTCATTGGTTCAACCCATACCATGAAAGTAGGGAGTTACTAGGGCAAAAGATCTCAACTGTGTTTATAAGTCTGGTTAACTAAGATATTCATTTTGTTTCCCTCATAGTTTATACAGCAATATTATCTGCAGTTTATGGTTTTGTGCATCATTAATTTCATCTCCCACATATGGTTTTGTACATCATTAATTTCATCTCCCACATATGGTTTTGTACATCATTAATTTCATCTCTCACATATGGTTTTGTACATCATTAATTTCATCTCTCACATATGGTTTTGTACTTCATTAATTTCATGTACAATATATAACTTCTGCAGGTGCAGAGTGGATTAGCTTTAGCTTATGTAGCCTGTAGGTGCTCTTTGAAAGGAATATAGGCAGTAGTACGCCTGTTTAACTGTCATTGCCATTGGTATTCCATGGTGTTATTTAAATTAATGTGCTTATGAGAGAGGCTGGGTGTTAGAGGGTTACTGAACAGCCAAGGCGTAAGCGTAAACACATGATGCAGTTTGATTACTGAATGAAGTAGTTCCTCTGACCCCCTATATAGAATACCCGCAGACATACTTTCATTCAAACCCAATGATACAATTAAAATCTACACAAATTATATATTTATGTAAGAATATGTGTAAGAATGTTATAGTGTCTTTACCTTTACTCTTGTAAGGGATGTCTAGCAGAACAATGAAACTATAAAGGTCACATGGAACCATAGAATCTAACATTGAAGGTCACATGAAACCATAGAATCTAACATTGAAGGTCGTGTGGAACCATAGAATCTAACATTGAAGGTCATGTGGAACCATAGAATCTAACATTGAAGGTCGTGTGGAACCATAGAATCTAACATTGAAGGTCACATGGAACCATAGAATCTAACATTGAAGGTCATGTGGAACCATAGAATCTAACATTGAAGGTCACATGGAACCATAGAATCTAACATTGAAGGTCACATGGAACCATAGAATCTAACATTGAAGGTCACATGAAACCATAGAATCTAACATTGAAGGTCACATGGAACCATAGAATCTAACATTGAAGGTCACATGGAACCATAGAATCTAACATTGAAGGTCACATGGAACCATAGAATCTAACATTGAAGGTCACATGGAACCATATAATCTAACATTGAAGGTCACATGGAACCATAGAATCTAACATTGAAGGTCACATGGAACCATAGAATATAAGATTGAAGGTCACATGAAACCATAGAATCTAACATTGAAGGTCACATGGAACCATAGAATCTAACATTGAAGGTCACATGGAACCATAGAATCTAACATTGAAGGTCACATGAAACCATAGAATCTAACATTGAAGGTCACATGGAACCATAGAATCTAACATTGAAGGTCACATGAAACCATAGAATCTAACATTGAAGGTCACATGGAACCATAGAATCTAACATTGAAGGTCACATGAAACCATAGAATCTAACATTGAAGGACACATTGAACCATAGAATATAAGATTGAAGGTCACATGGAACCATAGAATCTAACATTGAAGGTCACATGGAACCATAGAATCTAACATTGAAGGTCGTGTGGAACCATAGAATCTAACATTGAAGGTCGTGTGGAACCATAGAATCTAACATTGAAGGTCACATAGAACCATAGAATCTAACATTGAAGGTCGTGTGGAACCATAGAATCTAACATTGAAGGACACATGGAACCATAGAATCTAACATTGAAGGTCACATGGAACCATAGAATCTAACATTGAAGGTCACATGGAACCATAGAATCTAACATTGAAGGTCACATGGAACCATAGAATCTAACATTGAAGGTCACATGGAACCATAGAATCTAACATTGAAGGTCACATGAAACCATAGAATCTAACATTGAAGGTCACATGGAACCATAGAATCTAACATTGAAGGTCACATGGAACCATAGAATCTAACATTGAAGGTCACATGGAACCATAGAATCTATCATTGAAGGTCACATGGAACCATAGAATATAAGATTGAAGGTCACATGGAACCATAGAATCTAACATTGAAGGTCACATGGAACCATAGAATCTAACATTGAAGGTCACATGGAACCATAGAATCTAACATTGAAGGTCGTGTGGAACCATAGAATCTAACATTGAAGGTCACATGGAACCATAGAATCTAACATTGAAGGTCACATGGAACCATAGAATCTAACATTGAAGGTCACATGGAACCATAGAATCTAACATTGAAGGTCACATGGAACCATAGAATCTAAGATTGAAGGTCGTGTGGAACCATAGAATCTAACATTGAAGGTCACATGGAACCATAGAATCTAACATTGAAGGTCACATGGAACCATAGAATCTAACATTGAAGGTCACATGGAACCATAGAATCTAACATTGAAGGTCACATGGAACCATAGAATCTCAAATCGAAGGTCACATGGAACCATAGAATCTAACATTGAAGGTCATGTGGAACCATAGAATCTAACATTGAAGGTCATGTGGAACCATAGAATCTAACATTGAAGGTCACATGGAACCATAGAATCTAACATTGAAGGTCACATGGAACCATAGAATCTAAGATTGAAGGTCACATGGAACCATAGAATCTAAGATTGAAGGTCACATGGAACCATAGAATCTAACATTGAAGGTCACATGGAACCATAGAATCTAACATTGAAGGACACATGGAACCATAGAATCTAACATTGAAGGTCACATGGAACCATAGAATCTAACATTGAAGGTCACATGAAACCATAGAATCTAACATTGAAGGTCACATGGAACCATAGAATCTAACATTGAAGGTCACATGGAACCATAGAATCTATCATTGAAGGTCACATGGAACCATAGAATTTAAGATTGAAGGTCACATGGAACCATAGAATCTAACATTGAAGGTCACATGGAACCATAGAATCTAACATTGAAGGTCACATGGAACCATAGAATCTAACATTGAAGGTCGTGTGGAACCATAGAATCTAACATTGAAGGTCACATGGAACCATAGAATCTAACATTGAAGGTCACATGGAACCATAGAATCTAACATTGAAGGTCACATGGAACCATAGAATCTAACATTGAAGGTCACATGGAACCATAGAATCTAAGATTGAAGGTCGTGTGGAACCATAGAATCTAACATTGAAGGTCACATGGAACCATAGAATCTAACATTGAAGGTCACATGGAACCATAGAATCTAAGATTGAAGGTCACATGGAACCATAGAATCTAAGATTGAAGGTCACATGGAACCATAGAATCTAACATTGAAGGTCACATGGAACCATAGAATCTAACATTGAAGGTCGTGTGGAACCATAGAATCTAACATTGAAGGTCATGTGGAACCATAGAATCTAACATTGAAGGTCACATGGAACCATAGAATCTAAGATTGAAGGTCACATGGAACCATAGAATCTAAGATTGAAGGTCACATGGAACCATAGAATCTAACATTGAAGGTCACATGGAACCATAGAATCTAACATTGAAGGTCACATGGAACCATAGAATCTACTCCCTTAGACAAATATGGTTTATTTAATTTTGCTTTGATGAAAGTTTGAGCATTTTTTCAATGTTTCACATGATTATACTTAGTGCATAATTTCACTTTTGTTCACTATGATTTTTTATTTTCAGAATGAACCAGTGGAGAATTTAATAGGTTTTAACATGGTTAGCTACAGGTCATGCAAGAATCTGTGGAAGTCCTGTGTGGAGCATCATACCTTCTTCAGATTACACCAACCAAACCCACCTGCAAAAAAGCTTTTTACCATGGGCTCTAAATTTAGGTATAGGTAAGTGCCCTCTAACCCTAACCAATACTTGTATTACATTAGTGTTTTGTTAGTTTTTCTGTGTGTTAGGAATATGTTTTTCTGTTTAATTTAAGTTACAAATATTTCTTTGCTTTTTTTTTTTTTTACTGTTATTTGACATAACTTTGAGTTACACATATTTTGTTTTGTTAGTTTTTGTGTGTATGAGAATGTTTTTCTCTTTTTTTTTGTGTAAGGTTTTATTGTGTTTATTTTCCATCGGATGAATTTATACTAAATTTTTATTCACCAATTCATCTTTCTTTGAAATAAATATTGGTAAGCTGATATTTCCATTCATTCTATTGTGATCCACCTGTGATATTTAATTGAACCAAATGTTTGTGCTAGTTTCTTAATGCTATCACCTTGTTTGGCTAATGTTAATTTAGCATCACTTAGACATTTGCTTTAAGCATATGGTGTGTTTTTGTCTGGTGCTCTATTGATCACTACTTTTGTTTTTTTCCTCTAGGCTGACATATGGCTGTTTTTAAGTGTTGCCACTTTTTGTGTGTGTTCCATAGCTAATCTAAAATAACCAACCTGTCTGGTGGCTGGCACACATAATCCTTGATCTCTTTAAAGAATGGCTTGTGGTCAATGGTTAGCTGGTTTGGGTTGTGTTTGTATCAATGGTTATCTGGTTAGGATTGGGGTTGCATAGATGGTTGGTTATCTGTCTATTTCTTATTGAATATGATAGACTATACACCCCCCCCCCCCCCCCCCAATCCATCTTAAGGGGGTAAGCGCTGGAAAAGAAACAACTTCTTGTTTAATAACCCTTTTTTATTTATGTGTGTGTATCTATGTCAGGTTACTTAAAAGAAAATATTTGCATGCGGCAGGGACTCTTCTGAAAGTATGGTTGCCATGGCAATGGTGCCATCTTGAAAAAAAAAAACCTTTTATGGAGGTCCCAAGGCTGGAAACTAACATATGTATTGATCATATAATTATTGATGCTTCTAACCCTAATAGAGTCAGTTGGCGAGTTTTTGTTACTGAAAATACTCTAGAAATGGGTTGTTTTTTTGTTGTTTTTTTTTGAAGTTTTAAAATGAATGCTAAATTATCTGGCATTTCACCTAAATTGTGAAAATTTGAACAAAGAAGATTTCTAGAACCTTTTCTGTTACAAAAACTAGCCAACTGACTCTACCTGAGTTAGTAAAAGATTTCCGGATTTTTTCACTTTCTGGATTTGCAAATTTGAGTTTTAAAATTGCTGGGTTTGCAGTTTTTTAAAAAAAAGACAGTTTTAAATTTGAGAATTGTTTTAATTTGCAAGACTGCTGAGCATTTTTACCGCTTATGGCCCTTAACGCTGTTCATGCATGTGTAGATGGTACAATGCCCACTGAAGGCTTGGCTAGTAACCAACATGGGCTTGACGTCATTTATATGCCGCTACTTTCGTTTTCTTAGCTGACATTGAAAAAACTTAATAGAATCATTATAGAAAATCAGATTGGTAAACTTTTTTAAAGTTTGAATGCAGTCGTCTTTATCCAACAGACAGTAATTTTTAGCAGGAAACTGTTTTGCAAGACTAAATGCGTCTTTGACCATTACTAGCCTTAGTCAACAAGACATCATTTGAACATCTCGGGCATTGTGACATGTGATAGATCTGAAAAAATTTCTAATGTAATACTAGGATCGTGCCTAAAGCAGTTTTCTTTAATATTTAGATCTCACTCATATTAAACAAAGGATAACTGCTAACCTGCCTCTCAAATATTTAGATCTTGCTCATATCAAAAGAAGGATAACTGCTAACCTACCTCTCAAATATTTAGATCTTGCTCATATCAAAAGAAGGATAACTGCTAACCTGCCTCTCAAATATTTAGATCTTGCTCATATCAAAAGAAGGATAACTGCTAACCTGCCTCTCAAATATTTAGATCTTGCTCATATCAAAAGAAGGATAACTGCTAACCTACCTCTCAAATATTTAGATCTTGCTCATATTAAAAGAAGGATAACTGCTAACCTGCCTCTCAAATATTTAGATCTTGCTCATATTAAAAGAAGGATAACTGCTAACCTACCTCTCAAATATTTAGATCTTGCTCATATCAAAAGAAGGATAACTGCTAACCTTCCTCTCAAATATTTAGATCTTGCTCATATCAAAAGAAGGATAACTGCTAACCTGCCTCTCAAATATTTAGATCTTGCTCATATCAAAAGAAGGATAACTGCTAACCTGCCTCTCAAATATTTAGATCTTGCTCATATTAAAAGAAGGATAACTGCTAACCTACCTCTCAAATATTTAGATCTTGCTCATATCAAAAGAAGGATAACTGCTAACCTGCCTCTCAAATATTTAGATCTTGCTCATATCAAAAGAAGGATAACTGCTAACCTGCCTCTCAAATATTTAGATCTTGCTCATATCAAAAGAAGGATAACTGCTAACCTGCCTCTCAAATATTTAGATCTTGCTCATATCAAAAGAAGGATAACTGCTAACCTGCCTCTCAAATATTTAGATCTTGCTCATATTAAAAGAAGGATAACTGCTAACCTGCCTCTCAAATATTTAGATCTTGCTCATATCAAAAGAAGGATAACTGCTAACCTGCCTCTCAAATATTTAGATCTTGCTCATATCAAAAGAAGGATAACTGCTAACCTGCCTCTCCATGTAACTACTGTCACTGATATCTCAACTTGTGTGAACTTGACCACAAGTACGTAGTTGGTAGTATGGGGGGGGGGGGGGGGGGGGGGCAAAAGTTAAGGTACATTTCATGCTATGATGTATTAGATTGGACTACTGTGACCTCACATTGACCCCTCCACCTATGTCTTGTGGGGGGGGGGGGTGAGAAGATTGTTACAGAGATTGCCACTACAGGACTCTGTATAATATAATAATGTAAACATAATATGAATATGAACCAAATGTATAATATAATAATGTAAACATAATATGAATATGAACCAAATGTATAATATAATAATGTAAGCATAATATGAATATGAACCAAATGTATTAAAAAGAAGTAATGAAATAACTGTATTTTAAAATTCCGTGCGCCATTACGTTTCAGGGTTTAAAAATTTAAATTTTGATTGCAGGGTTGGTAAAATTTGTTGATTGATTTTCAGGATTTGCTTAAAAAATGAGTGGCACCCTGTATATATTTTAGTTTTTGAACCATGAGACCTCCAAAAAGGTTTTTTTTCAAGATAACTGTCATTGCAAAGGCATCTATTTGTTATGAAGAGTTCCTGATGCATGCATATATTTTCCCTTACGTAAACACACATAAATAAAAAGGGCTTATTAATTAAAAAGTGTTTTTCCAGAGCCTACCCCCTTAAGTAAAATAGATGTACACACCTCCAACCCATCTTAAGTAATACATACATACACACCCTGATCCCATCTGAAACAATACACAAATACACTTTCCCAACCTATGGTGTAATGCAGACGTACATACCCACCCATCTTAAGTAATTCACACACATACACACCCTCAACCTATCTTTAATCTTTTATGTACACACCCCCAACCTATCGTAAATCATACATACATGCACACAAATGTTTGTAGTAATTGAAGTCAATAGGATCAGCAATAGTATGGAAAAAAACAACATTTTTACAGTAATTAAAGTCAACAGGATCAGCAATGAGGAAAAAATTTCAATAAAGTGTAGCTGTACTGTTGGTAGAACACAAGTAATCCTAACCCAAACCTGTTAAATGTTCTCAGCCATTCTCTTGGGTTAGCTTCTCTTATACCCCTCATATATTATTGAAGAAATATGAGTCTAACCATCATTTTCTAGCTTAGCTTCTCACATACCTATATGATTGAAGAAGTATGGGTTAGTCTTGACCCTAACCATCATTTTCTAGCTTAGCTTCTCACATACACACTATATGTTTATTGCAGTGGTAGGACAGAATTTCAAACATTAGAAGAAAGTAAACGAAGGGCCAAAATTGAGAGGTCTTTTTCAAGGTAGGCTTCTAGAGGTTTTTCTTTTCATTTTCCAGCAATTTAAATATTTTCCACATTTGTTTGATTCTTCAACCTTCTTCATTGAGAAGCTATAATATATGGTTTCCTCTGTATTCTATTTTCTTCTCATAGACCAGACTGTTGGTTACATGATTTGTGTAACCTCATCTTGATCAATTCAGGAAACTCATAACATTTTCTAACCATGAAATTACCTAAACAATGGACCAAAACATTCATGACAATTTTAAAAATTTTACTTTTACTAATAAGTGTCGGAAGAAATAGTTGCTTTTTTCATCTAATGAATGTTTTCTTTTGCATGGTGTAGCATTTTTCACAAGTTGTTGCATTATAAATGGCTTTGTTTACTAATGACTTGCTCTGCTTGCATGTTAACCCTAATCCATTCTAGAGCTGCTGAATATGGAATTTATTAGTTTTAGAATATTGCTTCAGCCTCCCTCAAACCCTAGCTTGAACTTGGGTTCAAACGAGACAATAGTTCATCTCTTTATTATATTGGCTTTGCTTATTAGTAGATTTAATTTCAGATCACTCTTTTAAATGTTAATTTAAATATAGAGCTTATACTTTTGTGATCATCTAAAATGGCTTTACTTGTTGTATTTATATATTACAAACATATATAAATACACATGCTCATATACATACACATATACATAAATATATATATTTATAAATATACATAAATATATATACATTTTTAAATCAATAAATTTTTAAAATAATTCACTATGACAAAACTATATGAAAATTGCTTAACTCACAAAAAATGCAATTCCTAATTATTTAATGCATGTTACAAATAAAGACAATTTAAGCAAAGCAGTTTATAATCCTGCTTTATTTATTGCTTTTTGTCAATAACTAAAAATGAGTAAATAATAATTTAACGATGTGCTATTTAAACTGTGAGCTAGAAGATTGACACATTGATCAATGCAGTGGCCATGTTAATATATTTTTCATTTATATTCACTTTCATTTAAAACCTTTTTGTCTATATTATGGATTTTTGTGTAAAAGAATAATGGGTATTTTTTTATGTTTTAATCGACTTCCTTTAAATTTTGCGTCTTGTCTCCAAGTGTTAAATCTTATTCAAGCATCTTTAAAAAAAGTTTTATGTAAGGCTCTGATAAGTCTCAGTCATTTTTTTAATTGATATGGTTTCTAGTTTTCCTGTGGGTTGTAGAGTAAACTTTTTAATTGAGATGGTTTCTAGTTTTCCTGTGGGATGTAAACTTTTTAATTGATATGGTTTCTAGTTTTCCTGTGGGTTGTAAACTTTTTAATTGAGATGGTTTCTAGTTTTCCTGTGGGTTGTAGAGTAAACTTTTTAATTGAGATGGTTTCTAGTTTTCCTGTGGGTTGTAAACTTTTTAATTGAGATGGTTTCTAGTTTTCCTGTGGGTTGTAGAGTAAACTTTTTAATTGAGATGGTTTCTAGTTTTCCTGTGGGATGTAAACTTTTTAATTGATATGGTTTCTAGTTTTCCTGTGGGTTGTAAACTTTTTAATTGAGATGGTTTCTAGTTTTCCTGTGGGTTGTAGAGTAAACTTTTTAATTGAGATGATTTCTAGTTTTCCTGTGGGTTGTAAACTTTTTAATTGAGATGGTTTCTAGTTTTCCTGTGGGTTGTAAACTTTTTAATTGAGATGGTTTCTAGTTTTCCTGTGGGTTGTAAACTTTTTAATTGAGATGGTTTCTAGTTTTCCTGTGGGTTGTAGAGTAAACTTTTTAATTGAGATGATTTCTAGTTTTCCTGTGGGTTGTAAACTTTTTAATTGAGATGGTTTCTAGTTTTCCTGTGGGTTGTAGAATAAACTTTTTAATTGAGATGGTTTCTAGTTTTCCTGTGGGTTGTAGAGTAAACTTTTTAATTGAGATGATTTCTAGTTTTCCTGTGGGTTGTAAACTTTTTAATTGAGATGGTTTCTAGTTTTCCTGTGGGTTGTAGAGTAAACTTTTTAATTGAGATGGTTTCTAGTTTTCCTGTGGGTTGTAAACTTTTTAATTGAGATGGTTTCTAGTTTTCCTGTGGGTTGTAGAGTAAACTTTTTAATTGAGATGGTTTCTAGTTTTCCTGTTGGTTGTAAACTCTGTGCTTTAGCAAAAATGTTCCTTGCCTGGAAGTACCTAATCTTACTCAGCTGTTATTAGAATTAAAATAGCCACATTGTATTTTTAAAATAAATTATATTGTTTTCATTTGCAAAGGTTTGAAACATTTAGGATACAAATGTGTGTAGTAATGTAGTTTTACTGTTGTGATACATATTTTTTGAAAGCTGAAGTTTCCTCATTCCTTTGGTATAGATCTCCCAGTAAACGTCATCGAAGAACAGTTGGAGCAGTGTCCAGAGAAGCCATTCTGGAGGAGAATCGTTACATTGATGGCTATAGACAGATGTCAAAATCCCAAACTTTTTCAGCCAATACAAGCAATGCAGGTGGCAGCAGTGGTGCTAGTCATGGATTTAGCAGACATGAAGGAGCAGCTAGTCAGACAAGAGCCACACTGCCACATGACTACAAGTCTTCTAGTAGGACCTCTTGGAATGATGGAAATCAGTCAGAAAAATCTGAATTGTAAGTACATTTTTGAAAATGCATTTGATAGAATGGCTGGTTTTAGTGGCGTAACAACTATGTAACTAATGTAGACAAAGTCCCCAGCCCCTGAGGTCCAGGGTTCCACAAGCGTTTTGAGTAAAAATTATGAAGTATTCTGTAACTTGAAAAAGTAATAGGAGTCGTTCTCTATTCCATCAATTTCAAGTACATATTTTTAGAAACCATATGCAAATATATAAGGGAAATTTCTTAATAAACTTATAGAAAATTTTTTTCTCACACAACTTCAAGAGCTTTGGTCTAGATCAAGGGTCCATAAAATTTTTTCTCACACAACTTCAAGAGCTTTGGTCTAGATCAGGGGTCCATAAAATTTTTTCTCACACAACTTCAAGAGCTTTGGTCTAGATCAAGGGTCCATAAAATTTTTTCTCACACAACTTCAAGAGCTTTGGTCTAGATCAAGGGTCCATAAAATTTTTTTCTCACACAACTTCAAGAGCTTTGGTCTAGATCAGGGGTCCATAAAATTTTTTCTCACACAACTTCAAGAGCTTTGGTCTAGATCAAGGGTCCATAAAATTTTTTCTCACACAACTTCAAGAGCTTTGGTCTAGATCAAGGGTCCATAAAATTTTTTCTCACACAACTTCAAGAGCTTTGGTCTAGATCAGGGGTCCATAAAATTTTTTCTCACACAACTTCAAGAGCTTTGGTCTAGATCAAGGGTCCATAAAATTTTTTCTCACACAACTTCAAGAGCTTTGGTCTAGATCAAGGGTCCATAACATTTTTTCTCACACAACTTCAAGAGCTTTGGTCTAGATCAGGGGTCCATAAAATTTTTTCTCACACAACTTCAAGAGCTTTGGTCTAGATCAAGGGTCCATAAAATTTTTTCTCACACAACTTCAAGAGCTTTGGTCTAGATCAAGGGTCCATAAAATTTTTTCTCACACAACTTCAAGAGCTTTGGTCTAGATCAAGGGTCCATAAAATTTTTTCTCACACAACTTCAAGAGCTTTGGTCTAGATCAAGGGTCCATAAAATTTTTTCTCACACAACTTCAAGAGCTTTGGTCTAGATCAAGGGTCCATAAAATTTTTTCTCACACAACTTCAAGAGCTTTGGTCTAGATCAAGGGTCCATAAAAATTTTTCTCACACAACTTCAAGAGCTTTGGTCTAGATCAAGGGTCCATAAAATTTTTTCTCACACAACTTCAAGAGCTTTGGTCTAGATCAAGGGTCCATAAAATTTTTTTCTCACACAACTTCAAGAGCTTTGGTCTAGATCAAGGGTCCATAAAATTTTTTCTCACACAACTTCAAGAGCTGTGGTCTAGATCAAGGGTCCATAAAATTTTTTCTCACACAACTTCAAGAGCTTTGGTCTAGATCAAGGGTCCATAAAATTTTTTTCTCACACAACTTCAAGAGCTTTGGTCTAGATCAAGGGTCCATAAACTTTTTTTCTCACACAACTTCAAGAGCTTTGGTCTAGATCAAGGGTCCATAAAATTTTTTCTCACACAACTTCAAGAGCTTTGGTCTAGATCAAGGGTCCATAAAATTTTTTTCTCACACAACTTCAAGAGCTTTGGTCTAGATCAAGGGTCCATAAAATTTTTTCTCACACAACTTCAAGAGCTTTGGTCTAGATCAAGGGTCCATAAAATTTTTTCTCACACAACTTCAAGAGCTTTGGTCTAGATCAAGGGTCCATAAAATTTTTTCTCACACAACTTCAAGAGCTTTGGTCTAGATCAAGGGTCCATAAAATTTTTTTCTCACACAACTTCAAGAGCTTTGGTCTAGATCAAGGGTCCATAAAATTTTTTCTCACACAACTTGAAGAGCTTTGGTCTAGATCAAGGGTCCATAAAATTTTTTCTCACACAACTTCAAGAGCTTTGGTCTAGATCAGGGGTCCATAAAATTTTTTCTCACACAACTTCAAGAGCTTTGGTCTAGATCAGGGGTCCATAAAATTTTTTCTCACACAACTTCAAGAGCTTTGGTCTAGATCAAGGGTCCATAAAATTTTTTCTCACACAACTTTAAGAGCTTTGGTCTAGATCAAGGGTCCATAAAAATTTTTCTCACACAACTTCAAGAGCTTTGGTCTAGATCAGGGGTCCATAAAATTTTTTCTCACACAACTTCAAGAGCTTTGGTCTAGATCAGGGGTCCATAAAATTTTTTCTCACACAACTTCAAGAGCTTTGGTCTAGATCAAGGGTCCATAAAATTTTTTCTCACACAACTTTAAGAGCTTTGGTCTAGATCAAGGGTCCATAAAATTTTTTCTCACACAACTTGAAGAGCTTTGGTCTAGATCAAGGGTCCATAAAATGTTCATCCCTGGGGCCACAACACACTAGAGGTCTAAGGTTGTTTTCAAATTGTTCTTCATGTATTTCATTCTTGAAAGTGTTTGTTCACACAGGTATGTAGCTCCAAAAATTTAAAGTACCTTGTAGCAAAAGTTTTCACATAAGAATAGTCTTCTTTGAACAAAAACTTGTACAAACCCACCAGTCCTTCTTTGAACTTGTAACTAAGGAGGTCATTTGCTTTGAACTGAATGACCTCCATCTGCAGTTCATCTGGCCAACTGGCTGTGTCTGCTTCAAATTTTCTTCTTCGTTCTTAATTTTAAGTGTTGGAAGGGATCGAGCCTTATCTGCCAGAGGTTTCGAACTCGAGACTTTTTTCAAATTTTAACAACCATGAGCTTTTTGCCGACTCAACCACGCCTCCAACACAATTAAGTATACGTGTCAACTGGTTATGCGCCATTGAGGCCATTGACTCCGATTTTTCTCTCTTTGGATTTGCTTCCATAACCTTTGTTCAACCAATAACAAACTACAAGGCAGTAGTTGTTTGATTTTGGAGTTGTCTCTCCTAGAAGAGTGGCTGTCCTTAGCTAACAAGCCTCATCTGCCCGAGGGTACGAACTCGAGACTTTTCGGCTTAGCAACCATGAGCTTTACCGACTCGACCACACCGACCCCATGAGCTTTACTGACTGCTTCAAATGGGTTTGAAGCAGTCTCAATTTTTCTGCCTTTGAATCAAAGGCAGAAAAGCGCTTGCTGAAACTGCAGCTGAAGGTCTTTGATGACCTCTTGTGGAACTTAGCTTTTGCTTCAGCCATGAAGACCTAGAACTGCTGAAAGGCCTGTAATTGTTCCAAAAACAAGACAAGTTAGGATCTGAAGGCCTTTAGGTGGGTGTATAAATCAACAACTAGAGTTTCATCTCCTTATAGTTTTAGGTTCAGAAAATTTAAATGACTAGTTATTTCTGCAGCAGAGGCCAATTTCTATACCCACTCTTCATCAGACCTTAATGGCTGTGGCTTGCCTTTATTTTCCCGGAAGTGACCTATTTCTTTTCTTAATTAAAATACTCAGAACTTTCTCACATCTTAGCCATCTTACTGCTGTATAATATGGTAAATCTTGCGATTCTTTGTTTGTATCTTTCAACATATTCTTTGTCTGTATCTTTCAACATATCTCTAAACTTTCTATGGTCAAGCCCATGTGACCTTATGAAATTCACCATCTTCACCACATGAGTCAGTACACTGCTAGTGTTCATATATTTAGCAGACAAAACTTGCTGGTGAATAATACAGTGCAGGAACATTGGTTGTAGAATGTTTTTCTCATTCGCTTGTCCAACCAAGCCTTTCTATATGCCACTCATGTACTTTCCTCCATCAATTGTCAGTCAACTAAGGTTAGTCCAGTCCAAGTTATAATAAGCAAAGGTTTTTTTTTTAACTCATTGAATATTATCCTCTCCGGTAACAGTGCCATGATGCTGTGTAGGGAAGCCAGTTCTTGTGTTATGTTCATTTTTTTATCCACACCTCTAATGAACACAAGAAGTTGAGAGGTGGATCAGCTGTCCAGCGATTCATCCATTGCAATTGAAACATGGTGAAGCATTTTTCGCTATTTGAGTCACAAAGTTTTCACCCATGTCTGCAACACGTCTTTGCACCCAAAGCTACATTTTCAAATTGTTTTGAATTTTCTGGGCAAAGTTTCTCAGCCAACTTCTACAACATAATAGTATCTTGTTGAGTCGCTGATTCTGAGTTTGTTATTGTGAAGTCCATTTATAATTATCTTTACCTCTTCATTTACCTGTCCCCATTACTTTTGATTTTTCTACGTTTAGTTTATGCCCTCCAAAAATTGTGAAAAGTTTAACTTCAAATCTGGCAAGTCAGTTAAAGTATATGAAATGCGAAAAGCTTAATATGTTTAATGGTTTCCTGTGTTTTATTCTTGTTTAATTTGTATTTATAATACTAATTTTGAATCTATTGCTGTTAATAGCTAACTCATTCTTTAGGATGGTTAATTTAAAAATAAAAATCAATTGCTTTTTAATTTACTTAGTTGATTAGTACAAGGCTATTAAAATAAGCTTTGTGGTTACCTCTATTAGACTATTTTAGAAAGAGCAATCAGTGATAAAAGTGTATATCTTTCACACTACAGCTCATGTTGTTTTGTTTTTTTTCTCGCTAAGGTGATCTGAGTAATTTTTCTACATTTTACAAAACCACTTTCAATCTTATATATATAATTCTCTTCATGAGAACCATGCAAAAAAATCACGTAAACGCACGCCTTTACTCCCCCGCTCTCTAGACATATGGCTACACCCCCCCCCCCCCCACAACATTCTGGTGAGCTGTGGTTAACCCGAAATGTTTACAATCGTAAACTGTAAATCGTCTGTAAACTGTCGCCACGGACGGCTGCTTTTACGGAGTTCGTGGGAGAGGAGGGGGGAGGGTGGGGAGGAGGGTGAGGATAATCGTCTTTACCAGCTACTGATGGTGTTTTAAAGCAAAATATTTACAGTTGCAACATTGGTTGGGTTGTGTTAAATTCACAACTTATGAATTACTGAAAAGTAGAAAATCAAAACAACAAAATAGCGTTGTATGCTTACGGCGCCTACCTCCGACTGCAATCCAGTCT